CCCTGCTTTGTGCCCTGTGATGGGTTGGTGCCCCATCCTGGGTTGTTCCCTGCCTTGTGCCCTGTGATGGGTTGGTGCCCCATCCTGGGTTGTTCCCTGCGTTACACTTGTGGCCTCCAGGATAGGCTCCAAACCCCCATGACCCTTAATTGGGGAAGTGCTTTCAGGAGATGGATATTTTGAATCTCAAATTGCATTACAATCATAGGAGATTCTGTGGTAGGATATTGCTAGACAACACTTTTACTTGTGGAACTGAATCAACCTGTAGAGAAATAGTGTCACTATTTATTTTCAGAATAAGAAGCATACATTGAAATTTAAAACAATTTCATTTCTAATTTACAAATCACATAAGTAAAAGAGCACTCTGGAAAATATATTGTATTACATTGTTGCTGTAATATTGTTATTCTTTGATATTGCTACAAATTGTTACTGAAAAAGAAAGAAAAAAATATAGAACAAATAATGTATTGATAGCTGTCAAATTATCTCACCTGTCAATTTAGGCCATTTTTAAAAACATAATTAATGCATGATCATATCTTTGCCTCTATATTTGGTAAAATATGCCGGGTTGCTGAATATAAGCTTAATGTTTGCATATGGATATCATGAATGAGGCTCAGCTAATTACACTGGCATCTGGCTGATAAAGGTACCTTTCATATTCAAAGGATGCTGATTAAGAAGAAGAAAAAAAAAAACACTTTTTTCACCCACACTGAAATGGGCAATTAATTGCAGGTCTGCCCCTCCATGCACAGCACCCATGCCAGCCCAGGTGGGATCAGGACTTGCAGAATTTCTCCTCCTGATGTGCATGCTGTCAACCACCCACTTATTTTGGCTCCTCCGGCTGCATCGGGTAACGCTTGGACGGGAAAGCCGTCAGCCTGCTTCCACTACCAGCTCAGTAGGTGCCCAGCTGACAGTAAACGTCACTCCAGAGCGGCGAGACAGAAAGGAATCCAGCTACTGAGCAGAACTCAAGCCAATTCGTTTTCTCCGAGTCTCTCCCCGTAGACAGATAATGGGCTGTGGCAGGAATCGAACCAGGCTCCCCATCGTAGCATATGTGAAAAGGGCAGCGGCAACGTTTGCCATCACTCAGATCACGCATTCCCGTGGGGCCCCTCTGATCTGGGGGCCCTCTGTTGGCCACAGACAGTCACTGCAGTGAATATTAAATAATCGCATTCCTTATTTACAAGATGTCGTTCACATGCATGTTCCGCTAACCATCTAGCTAGCTAGGACCTCCTCACTCCGCTAACTAGCTATTTATTTAGTTTTTGGTGGGGGGGGGCAGGTGACTTTTTGAGTGGGGCCGCAGAAACTACAAATCTGCCCCAAGAAAGGTAACGGCCTATGACAGAGATGTTGACATCTTTCCATGAATGAAACTGCAAGGCTGATTGGATGCAGCTGTCCTGTTCTCCGTTCATTGACGTCAGTCTTGGAATTGCATGACTGTCACATGATATTGAAGGTAATGCGTGTTTAATTACGTTGTTTCAGACGGGCTGAGAAACAGATTAGTTGCATAAGAATGAAAAAGTGGTTCTTCATTGGTGCACTTTACCCGCCATTATCGTTTATATTCCAAGAGAGAACCTGAGCTTGCAATTTAATTTACTTTAGATGTAAATAAAATGTTATTAAGCATCTCCTAACATCATTCTGTTTTATAAGGTCAATAAATTCAGACAGATGCTTAAGGACAGGTTTAAAGTGCTAGATTTAAAGCAGCATTGGGTGTAATTGAGCTTTGTTTGGAGTCTGAGGCTAAACTCTTCTTACCAATAATTTGGTAATTACCCATGACTCCCTGTTTTTCGTATATCAATATCAATTATTGAATAGATTCCCTAATAAAATTAACTAATTAACTGCATTCAATAAAGCGTAAATGCTCATTGCTTGCATATAATTATGAATTTAGAAACTGCAGGAAATATTACAAAGATTAGATATGAGTTTTGAATCTGACATTGTCCTCAAATATTGAATTCATAGGTATAATAGTACTTAAGTAGGTGATGACTTTACTACAAAGATGCAGGGTTTGAAGTTTATGTCTGGTCTGAAATCTGTTCAGTGTTCATCTTGTGATCATGTGGGTTTTCTGGGTAATCCACATGATACAACAAAAAACATTCAGGTGAATTGGTGACAGAATATTTAAATGTTTGTATGTGTCAGTAGCACAGTTATTTCATACAGTATGATGTCTGATATTGGATGATGTCAAGCTTAGTTGAGTGATGTTGGGTAAATTTTTAAGGTTACCAGATATCATTACATGCATGTTGCAAGCGACACATCATTGTGGCGTGATGTGAAGAGCAGGTATGATGTTCACAGCGGTGGCTCTGCCATGCCAGCACCCTGGGCGAAATCTGAGGCAGCTGTTCAGATGTGCAGGCGTGCAGTTGTGTGGGGGCCCCGTGGTGCCCCTTGAACGATGATGCCTGGGGCAAATGCCCGTCCTGCCCTTGCTGGGATCCACCCACAGACAAACTCCTGGAGTTTCGACACATTCGGTGTGGTCTTACACAAGGGCCAACCCCAATTCCCATAAGCACCGGGGCAGGTCCTGCTTGTGGATTATAAATTGAATCTGGGCCTTTTTACACATGTACATATGAGAATCTCTCTCCATTTTTAATGCATGACAGTTCCCCTGCCCAACGATGAATTGTTATCAACTGATACAGTCTGTATTGCAGTATTTAATATTGCATATATTTCTTTAGATTCCTTAAGAATGTCAATATTCTGAGCATTTTTTCACCATGAAAGCCTCAAACTGTCCCGTACAGCTCCTTGTATAATTTCTCAAATAGTAAATGAATATTTCAGTATTGCAGCCACATAAAATCCAGAAGGAAGATGAGATTCATAACCTCTAATGACATTATGAAATAGATGATTATTAGTATTGTGAGGTAATGACCAGTGTTGTTCAGTACTAATAGGAAAGTCGTTTTTACCTGATCTCGCTGACCGGTCAGTAACCTAGTCAATGTCTTGTATAATTAAGTTAGCAATAGTGTGTGTGTGTCTGTGTGTGTGTGTGTATATATAATGTTTACGCAGCTGCATGGTGTTGATGAGCGTTCATTAACTTCTAGCTAATTGTTCTGCACAACACAGAAAGCGGCCAGGAAAGTGTTTACCAAGCACCAGCGTCCGTGTCAGTTGAACATGCTGAACACTGTTTGCTGAATGAGATTAACATTGTGAGAAATGTTTACCAGTCAGAACTGGTTCCAGGTGTAAACCATCCCGGCCTTTCTGTGACATTGTGGGGATGTATATGTAACCTTCTTGGTGCGGGGGGGGGGGCAGTTGTATTTCTTTATTGCTTTAGGTGAATACAGTCAGCTCAATATGATCAAAGAAAAAATATATTGCATTAATTTTTCTCTTTTTGTATGTTATATCCTTTCATGCCCTTGGGGCAGAGTGTGTGGCCTCTGGGCTGCGACTCTGTGCTTGTGATTGAAAGGTCACCTGTTCATATCTTCATGTCCCGTGGCCGACAGTGATGCCACCGTTGGACCCTTGAGCAAAGCCCTTAACCCCCCCAGCTCCAGGGGCACTGCATGCCAGCTGACCCCCCCCCCCCCCCCCCCCCCCCCCCCCCCCCCCCCCCCCCCCCCC